TCTCCACTGGTGGAATTACCCTTTAACCATGATATATGTGGTTCAAACAGACCCAGAAACAACTAATCAATAGAAATTATTACAACAGCGGTTCCCCTTAATTCAAATCACTAAAGCTAGGGCCACCACTTTTTGCCTTGTTGGCGCTAGCGATGGTTTATGACCTTTAATGATAAAAATGTACAAAATTTCAAGAAAAGTATCATAGGTTAACCAATATTTCCAACCATTCAAAAATATAAATCCTCAACCCAATAAAAGAGCTAGCCTAGATATGGCCCCTTTAATGTACATCTATTGGATTTGTATCTTCAAGCCAAAAATCATAAGTCTCATCAAGTAAGGCCAGTTCACACCAAAAACTTGAAGAATCATTTATGTTTGTTGTAGCATAAAAATGCATAATATGTTAACATTAAATATTGAGTGGTAGAGGTCTGCTGAAATCCCTACCCTCAATATAAGCACAAGTAGCGATGCTTGCCTTAGTAAACACTACTCAAGAGAAGGTCCAGGAGTGTGTGCATGTCCAACAAGCAGAACGGCTGTCAGCTGAACGAGGGAGAGCTGGCAGAGCTTCAGTCAAGACGCAGAACAGCAGGAACTAGCATGTGCTTTAACACCCACAGAGAGCCTGCTGGGAAATAACAGCCCAAACACTGCTTGATGTAGAAATGATGTAGAACTGTCTTCCTCATTATTTGGACATCAAATGAGAGTGGTTTGTATCTCTTTGCCAGAATATCATCATAATATCAATTTTGTATTCAAAGCGACTAAGGTTTCAATTAATACAGAGTCAATTCCACTGGAGTGAGCTGGGGTTAAAGATCTTAAAGGGTTAGTTCACCCAAAAATGAAAATTAAGTCATTAATTACTCACCCCCATGCTGTACCAACCCCGTAAGACCTTCGTTCGTCTTCGGAACACAAATGAAGATATTTTTGATTAAATTTGAGAGCTGTATAACTACCACATTGGCTCCTGAGGGACTGCCTCTTGACGGCCCAGAAAGTCAATGAAGAAAATGTTTAAATATCCCAAGTGACTACCGTGGCTCAACTATATGTTTATCAAGCGACGCGAATACTTTTTGTGCGAAAAAAAACAAACAAAAATAACGAGTTTATTCGACTATTTCTTTTCTTCCTTGTAGGCCAGAACGAGACTTCCTTATAGATTTCCACGACGCATGCGCGAGAATTGCGATCTGAAGTAGTGTAAGCTGTTGTACGCAGATCGCAAATCTCGCGCATGCGTCGTGGAAATCTATAAGGAAGTCTCGTTCTGGCCTACAAGGAAGAAAAGAAATAGTCGAATAAACTCGTTATTTTTTATTGTTTTTTCGCACAAAAAGTATTCGCGTCGCTTGATAAACTTATAGTTGAGCCACGGTAGTCACTTGGGATATTTAAACATTTTCTTCATTGACTTTCTGGGCCGTCAAGAGGCAGTCCCTTAGGAGCCAATGTGGTAGTTATACAGCTCTCAAATTTAATCAAAAATATCTTTATTTGTGTTCCGAAGACGAACGAAGGTCTTACGGGGTTGGTACAGCATGGGGGTGAGTAATTAATGACTTAATTTTCATTTTTGGGTGAACTAACCCTTTAAAGGTGCAGTTAGCAATTTCTGAGAAACGCTGTTGGATCGGACTGAGCACCAAAACACACTTTTAGCCAATCAGCAGTAAGCTGCATATACCCTCATAAGGGGGGAGGAGTTTGTGAATTTGGGGGCGGAGCTATAAGGGTGTGATCCTTTTTTAGCGTGTTTGTTTTGGTGATTTCAAATATCAACAGCGTTTCTGGAAAATTGGAATTGCTAATTTCAACCATCTTTGTATTATTATGCAAGTAATGTAAATCAATCAATGTTTACTCTTCCTCTGTATTCCCTGAAGCCAGATATCCTTTTTTATTTCAGCAAAGGCCTTTTGACAGCTCCATGGCTTTCGTAAAAACTACACAGCGCACTTCCACACTTCTGCATCCTTGCCCAATGACAATCGGATTGAGCACAATGCATTATGGGTGTCGAAGTGCAAGTTTACATTTGACTTAAACAGGCATTTAAGTCTGCGACTAGCTTATACCCCAACGTGTTTCTCATGTTTAGTGTTTTAAAATGTCCTGCTGTTTTTAGAGATTGAAATACTGCAGAAGGTGCTGTATATGGATCTCAAGTATTCAAAAGTTGCCTTTTGTTCACATATTTTTGTTTTTTTAAAGATCTAAATATTTGAGTTTTAAAAAAACAGATAACACATTGGCAGGCCTGTGTTGCAGCTCTAGGAATGAGTGAAAATTGGGCAATATTAGGAGTCATCGTTATACTATGGAGTCACCAAATCATTCAGCCTGGACCAAATCTGATTAAGGACAACCTTTCCTCTTAAACTGGAATAGGGAAAAGAGCTTTAAGTTCAGCAACACTTCAGCAGATGCTTAGTTTTGTCTATACTGTAAAGTCCCTTACAGCATATTACTAGATCCTTGAAACGGAAAATATAGAATAAAAAGCAATTCAAAATATTAATAAAAAGGCTACTATAGTATAAGGTACCACTACAGTCCAGTGAGGAAATAAGTGTGTCCTGGAAACGGGAAGCCTCAGGTGTCTCTTCACTCGCTGTCTCCTCTGGGAAATGGGACTTTGGTTCAGATGTAGATGGCTCTTTTTCTTCTTCTCGCTAAACTTTCTGTGATTTCTTGAAAAAGCGTAATATTGAACTTTGTGCATCCGCCACGGTCACGAATGTTAATTAACTCTCACGCGCAAAGAAAATGACAGTGTACACTCAACATGTTAATGAATCAAAAATCAAAACAATAAGTTTGAAATCAATAACTAAGTTTAGATCAAACCAATAAGTTTGAAAACAGCCGTTGCGTTGCATTTTTATGGGTCAATCTATTAGAGTAACAAAACAACAATTCCTTCCGTTTTTATTTTAAGCAATCAGGAATCTGTTTTTTTTTATCAGCCCTACAAAAAAATATGACCTATGCAAGAGTGTATTGTTTACTGCTTAGTGTTTAATACACTAAAGGAGACTGTGCTTTAGCAACTACCTCAGGGGGACGATTGCAATGTTCTGCTGTCAAAATAAATGAAAAGAAACCTAGCATTGTGAACTTTTACTTTCCTTGCTGTACTGAACCGTGACCCAAAACCGAAGTAGGCCTACGAACTGAACCGTGTCTTCTGTGTACTGTCACACCCTATAACTATCAATTATTCTACAGTAGCACTGCCCACAAGGAAAACATAACCTATTCCTGGACCTACATCTTCTGCTAGTTCACAAAACTTCGGTCGAACAAATGTACCATCAACAACCCCTAAAATCAAAAGGAAATGTCTAGAATTGGATGGGTAGGATGGATTTGATATTAATAATTTTCCAGGACGAGTAACATCTTTCTAAAATCACTGTCAGCTGAGGTTCAGAGCCTGAATCAAGGTCACGGTGCTGATTTTACTTTTCAGACTAAATCAACAAAAACCAAAGGCATAAAATCTATTGAATAGGCCTACACTTTTTTACTTCTGCTTAAACTATTGGCATATCACGTAAACGTGCTGATTATGGAGTTTTCCCCAAAATCTAACATGTTTAATATACTCTGTCACAGGCCCAGTGTGCGTGTGTGTGTGTGTGTGTGTGTGTGTGTGTGTGTGTGTGTAGGGTCAGTTGTGTTGTTTCAGCATAACACCAGCATAGATGTTGCAGTCTTTTAGCATGTCAGCTAACTGACCCCAAATGTATATTCATTTAAAATATATAAACTACAGGGACTGCTACACACTGAGCGTATGTGTGTGTGTTTGTTTATTAGCGGTGTGACTGTTGTTTGAGTCCCGTGAAAACACTGACACTGATGAATCAAAAAATGACACCCGAACAGCAGATTACCTGGACAGATGCTTCAGGATCTGCTTTTTAATGATTCCGGCCATCCCGTCAGACTGGCAAACGTTACCTCTCCAGCATCTTCAGAAATCTTCTGCTGACACACACACACACTCACGCAGACACACACACACAAACACACACTCACACTCCGCTCACGACTGACACCGCTGCTGCTCCAGAGCAGACTCTGCCAATCAGAATCGCCGCAGCGACTGGGTGTCAAAATAAAAGTCTTCATTGAGAAGAGACTCAACCACTAGAGGGCCTCAGCAAACTAATGAGTTGGCCTCAAGATGAAAAAATAAAAATAAAATAAATAATTACAATTTTTTAAATAAAGACAATCATTAAAGTAATAACTAGATCTAAGATATTTATTATATGAATTTACCCCATTTTTTTTTTATTTGAAGAACATTTTAGACATGGAAAAGTCGTATAAATTAAAAAAAAAAAAACCAGCACGACACCTTGGATATGTTTGTGCGAAATCTTCTGCTGACACATTCTATGAGACAATATAATATCACATTCTAAATGATACAGCATGCTGCATTAAAACTGCCTTTTTAAGCAAGTTCCTGTATATAAAAAAGTAAAAAAGTGGCCTGTATACAAAATAATAACAAAATAAATGTTAAAGTTTAAAGTAGCCTACAGTGACCGTAATTATAATGAAAAATGTCTATAATAAAAATATGGTTCCATCATTACCATTAATGAATTGCTAATGTGTGCTGTAATTTATTCCCATTCTATTGCATCAGAAGACAATGGCTGAAGCTTCTCGTAGTTTTATAAAAAATCATGCCTACATATAGCAGTTCTATCAGATATCAACAGCAAAGCAAATAAATTCATCTCTTTTACAACCTCTACCATGGTAATTATGTTACTTATTTTTTGCTTTATATACAGTAATTTTAAGAAAAATATTTATTTTTATTATTCAGAATAGTTTATGTAGTGTAAAATTACTTCACAAAATAAAACAGGTAAGCGGCGGATGAGAGCTTTTATTTTGAATTTTTTTAACATGTTTTGAGAGAAACAAAATAGCTTTGATCCTGGCTTCACACTTCCTTATTGCCATAAACACGCCAATATTTCTAACATCCAGTTCTCGTTGTTTTCTTTTAGCTGATTGTGTATGGATGTACTATTTAGAAACTGATAGAGGAGGTATGTATGTTACATTGTAACGTATTACGTGCCCTTTGTGTCCGAGAAAAGCACATTAGTAACTGTTAGAAAGAAAGATGGTAAATCTATTTCTTTTGAAATAAACTAATTGGTAAACTAATAAGCTCCTTAAAGTGGGTGCTGTGGGTGCTAAACAAATATATGCAATAACAATATATAAAGTCTGACAGTTGTCAACTTCTGGACTTTAGATTTATACTGGTCTGTTACTGTAAACTAACTGTCAGGCTGATTCCAGTGGTTGACTATGATTGTTATGTGTTATGGTGGGGTTGAGTTAGTTTTGTGTTACTTTATTGCCAGACTGACACTTTATAATTGCAATTGATGATGTTAGCATTAGGCACAATCCAAAATACATCATTAGAGAATAATTGCATTATTGCACAACACAACACCAGCATGTTTACGGGGAATCCTGATATTAAGTTTGTTCAGACTGTGTTCCTCTGCTTTTCTTTGCAGGTGCCTGAAGAACCCACAATGCCTTATTTTGGCTCAGAGGAGACGGTGAGAGAGCTCAAGCGAGCTCTGGCCAATCCCCACGTCCAAGCAGATCGTCTCCGGTACAAAAACTACATCACCAAAGTCATCAGGTCCGTCAAGTGTTCATCTGCCTTTTCTGATGAAGAGAGGACTTTAAAAATCACCATGCAATGGAAAACCTGGAAATATCAGAATAACATCAAATAAAAATGTAGAGTTTTCCGGCCTGGAATACTTATGTAAAAGTATAAAAACTTAAAAATCATGGAAATATCTATAGATCATGTAGAGTATAAACTTTTGACTTGGTTCTAAATTAATTAGTTTAACTGATTTTCAAACCATTTTGAATGATTTATTAGCTATGGCACATCCATTATTTCTTATCCAGTTGTTATTATCCATCGATCACACGTGACTGGAAAAGTCAAAAAGTGTGGGCATGGGTTAAAAATATCGTGAAGTAATCTTGTATATTCTAAGTTTTAAGCATGCACAGCAAGTGTGATGTGTCAGTGTGGACGAGAAACTTTTGGAAAAATCTTGAAAATGCTAGTGTGGACTGAGTGAGAGCATTTTGAAATGAAAATACAATTTTTAAATGTACTGTAATTAATGTAGATATATCCCGAGACACAACTTGTTGAATTGTTGACAAAATAATCATGCAGAGATGTCTTTGTAGGTACATGACACAGGGTCTAGATGTCTCTGCTTTATTTATGGACATGGTAAAAGCCAGTGCCACGGTTGATATTGTTCAGAAGAAGCTGGTATATCTGTACATGTGCACCTATGCCAGTGACAAGCCTGACCTGGCGCTACTGGCAATCAACACCCTCCGTAAGGATTGCGCTGATCCCAATCCGATGGTGCGAGGGTTGGCCCTAAGGAACATGTGCAACTTCAGGTTTGTATGTCTGGCATCATTTGTTTGTGTCTTTCTAGACCCAGAATATCATGCCATCACCTAGTAACCTCCTAACAACCACCCAGAACACCACAACAACAGCTAAGCAAGGCCACTGCAATGATTCAGAACACTGCAACAATTAGCCTTGCAACACCCTAGCATCTATCCAGGATCACTTAGCAACACCCTAGCAACCACCCAAACACTGCAACAAAATCTTAGCAACACCCTAGCAACCATCCAAGGCTGGGTTTCCCAAAAGCATCGTAAGCTTAAGTTGATCGTAGAACAATTGCCACCAATGGTCTCTACGATCAACTTAAGCTTACAATGATTTTGGGAAACGCAGCTCAGGACACTTTAGCAATCATTTAGCAACATTCTGGTTTCTGTGGTTTTACTAAGTGATTGATAGGGTGTCATGTGTGATTGACAGGAGGTTTCTTGTTGGGGTGTTGCTAAGATGTTTGGGTGGTTGCTAAGGTGTTGCTAAGTGACTACTTTGGTTAGAAGTTGCTGGTTTGGAAGAAGTTGTTGGATTTTTTGAGTGCACTGAAACAGCATCATAGCAACACCATAGAAACCTCCCAGGACACCATGACAACGTCAAAACATCAACAAGAAATGTTGACAAGAACAACACAAGAGTTGGCCTTGCAACACTCTAAGAAGCAATGCCCTATCAACTACCCAGGACACCTTGGAGATCACTTAGATCACCCAGAACACTGCAACAACATCTTAGCAACACCATAACAAGAAACAACCTAGCAGCCATCCTGGACACTTTAACAATCACTTAGCAACACCCTAGCAACCACCCAAACACACTACCAACACACTACCAACAACACTAGATACCCTATCGACACCCTAGCAACCATCTGAACACTGAAACATCATCATAGCACTACCCTAAGGCCGTGTGTCCACCAAAGCGTTTTTCCACGCGCCTGTCGTATGTTTTCAATGGGAGCACCGCGTTTTTTAAACGTCATGAGCGTACCGAGGCGCTGAGCATTTTTTTTCACACTGAAGCTCCAAGCGCCCGCCGTTTTTACTGCGTTTTTGCTGGGAGTTGAAAAATGTTCAACTTTGGATAAAACGCAGCGCTCATCACTGTCACTTTTTACCCAGCCGCATCCAATCACAGTGGAGGAGGGGCGGGACTAATACAACACCGACCCCTGTCAACATTCAAACTGCTGCGGATATTCTGTATCATAGCAACGAAACGTCTTAACGGAAAAAAACGCTGCGCTGCCAAAACGCTTTCAAGCGCCCAATGCACTTAGGAAATTATTCCTAGGCAAAATAACTAAACTAAAACTTTTTAAACTAACAAATGCCTTTTTTAACATTGTGTTTAAGCAAATGCATTTTATCAGTATTTTGATTGTTCCTCAATTTTACATGTGAATTTATTTTTTATGCTAGACGCATTTATAAAAAATAAACGCTAGACGCTTCAGCAGAGCGTCTAGCGTTTTCAGCTGGCTAAAAACGCTTTGGTGGACACACGGCCTAATAAGACACACACAATAGAAACCTCCCAGGACACCATGACAACATCCAAGAGATGCTCCAGCAATGACACAGAACACCACAAAAGTCGGCCTTACTACTCAGGACACCTTAGCATTCACCTAGCACCCTCTCAGAACACTGCAATAGCCTAGCACCACCCTAGCAACCACCCAGGACACCTGGGTCACAACCTTTTGACTTTTTGACAACCTTTCAAAACACCACAACAACAGCCTAGCAACAACCTAACAACAAACTCTCTGAAAACCACCCATAACACTGGCATCATGGCTAGTTTTGCATGAACTTTCTTTAGAAAATAGTCCCTAACAACATCCCAACGGCCTGTTAAAATCACAGTAAGGCACAGCCTAAAGTGGAATATTTCTTGAATATATCCTAACACACTGTATCTGCATGATTAATTGGCTTGTTTTTCAGAATGCCGGGAATGCAGGAGTACATAGAGCAGCCCATTATTGCAGGTCTGCGAGACAAGGCCAGTTACGTAAGGAGAGTCGCTGTGCTTGGATGTGCCAAACTGCACAGTCTACAGCCCAACACAGACATAGGTAGAGCCAAGTGCTCCGTTTATCTGAATTTAAACAGTTGAGAAGAAATTTGATAAACATAATGTGATGATAACTGTTGCTATCTTATTCTGTTTTGGTTAATACATGTCCATTGATTCACATGTATACATGAGCTGAATGATTTGGGTCACACTGTTCCCTTAAAGGAATGTTTTAAGTGCAGTGTCTGTGACGAATAACAGCTTGTCACACATCCTTAACTGAACAGAACATTTCTTCAACATCACATACTTGTAGATAACCTGTTGGACAGGGCTCCAGACTCAGACCTAATGGTTAAGTTTTGCAACTAAACTTTGTTAGAGGTACTCTCCGTTTCCACTCCCTAATATATGGAAAAATATTGGATGTCATAAAAAACAAAAGCTTTTCTTCAAATTTTGACTGAATTACAAACAAGCCAAGTAAAGAGTGCTCCTTTTATAGTCACTGAAGCTGTCGGTCTTTTCAGTATGATACTAAAGTACAATGGTACATTTAATAAGAGTAGAATATTTCAATTTTGTGGGTATTGCACGTTACTGTTGTTAATAAAAGTTAATTTTATCTGCATCTCAAGTCAAGCTCAGTGCTTAACTGTCAAAAGTGCATTTACAAGAAATAAACTTGTAATATTATTAGTAAATGCTCTTCCTAATGCAAAATGATAGTAATTTAATGATTAAATTACCTTTATGTTTAAGCCTGCCCACCCTCTCAAATGTATGTTAGTCTGGAGCCCTGTTGGATCATCAAAAACAGGCCAAAACTAGGAACAGTACAACCCTGTCTTTTCTAAATGTTCAGTGTGTTCATAGCCTCAAGGGCTTTGAATAGCCTTTCTATAAGGGTCCAGTTTATGTCTGTACAGTAGAGCATCTGAATGAAGTCTCTTCGTATATAAGTGTCTATATTTTTGTCTTTTAGATGGCAGTATAGTGAACGAGCTGTATGCACTTCTGAGGGACCCGGACCCTGTGGTTGTGGTGAACTGTCTTCGTGCATTGGAGGAAATTCTCAAAGATGAGGGTGGAGTGGTTATTAACAAACCCATTGCTCATCACCTTATCAACAGGTGTGCCTTTTTTGCCATTACGTTTAGTGGATTGTTCATCCAAAGAATGTAATTTTGTCATCAAAACTTAGCCTCATGTTGTTTCAAAAAGAGAAAAAACGTGTCATATTCTTAGAAATGAGCTCTTTGTATTCATGGTAATTTCGTACAGTATGGTTCTGTAATGACATTTTTCTTACACCTTAAATACAAAATATTTTTTACACTTATTCATAAATATGATTACATTTTTGTATGTGTTATTTTAGTATTATTCATTTACTATTATATTATTTATATTTTCAGTTTACTTTTAACTTTAGTTTAAGTTTTTGTAATTTTGTTATGTGATTTTGCTATTTTATATACATATATTTTTCTATTTATTTTTTATTTGATTTAATTGAAATTTCAGTTTTAGTCATTTTAGAACTTAAACTTATTTATTTCAGCTATTTGGCAACATTTATAATTGAAGAGTTCAGATGCAAAAGCCTCTAAGTGCCATTTGAAATTTTCTTCTAGAATGATCATTTTTATCAAGCTTGTATATTTAAGTTCAGTGATTTCACTTAAATGGCAATGATAATTACCTATTCATTGTTATTTAAGTGAAATTACTGAACTTAAATATACAAGTTTGATAAAAATCATCATTAAAGAAGAAAATTTCAAATGGCATTTAGAGGCTTTTGCATCTGAACTCTTCAATTTTAGTTCAAGCTTTTTATGTCACTATGGTAAATAATGCTAATCTTTTGAACTTTCTTCTGTTCCTCAAAACAAGACAAAAATAATAAGCCAGCAGTTAAATATGGAGTTTATTTTTCATGTACTATTTATATTTTAGTTTATTTCATGAGAAGAAAAAAAAAGAAAAACACACAAATTTCTTAATGTTATCTCCAATTAACAGGTTCCAAATTACAGAAATGTATACCTTAAATATTAAGTCATGCCTTTAATTAATTCTACTATATAAAAGATTCATCTAAATTCTACGTGTGATGTAGAAATTAATATATAATGTAACTTCAATTTATTGGTTTTCATGGTTTTAATAGTTTTCATGGTTTTAATAGTTTTAGTTAACATTAACAACCACATTACAATTTACAACATGTGCTAAAGGGACCTCTATATGATACTACTTTCCATTTTGTTGTGTTTATTTGTTATTTTCTTGCATTTTTGAAGGACAAAGGTTTTCATCATGAATCATGTCATTGATCCCTTTAGCAGATTTTCTAATGGCGGACTTTGTGTTTGTTTTGTGTTTTCTCATTCAGAATGAAGGACCTGGACAGTTGGGCTCAGAGTGAGGTCCTCACCTTCCTGCTACGCTACCGCCCTCGTAGCGATGAGGAGTTGTTCGACATCCTCAGCCTATTAGACACCTTCCTCCAAAGCGCCCACGCTCATGTTTCAGTTTCCACGCTCCGCCTCTTCCTTCATTTGGCCGCCGCCCACCCGGCTGTGCAGGCCGACGCCCTCCTGCACACAAGCGCCCCCCTGCTGGCCACGTGCGGTTCTGCATCACGCGAACTTCGTTTCGCTGGGCTCTGTCACGTTCAGCAGGTCATGCGGAGTCAGCCGGGCCTTTTCGGCACACATTACAAACGCTTCTTTTGTGGTTACTCTGAACCGAGTTACATTAAGTTTCGCAAGATGGAGATCCTGGTGGAGTTGGTGAACGATGAGAACGTGGCTTTGGTTTTGGAGGAGCTGAGAAGTTACTGCACTGATGTGTCTCCTGAGCTCGCCCAGGCAGCCATTACCGCTATAGGTAACACATCTCACAAATATACGTTACAACAGGGAAGAAAAGACTGATACAACTTCTGTTTCATGCTGACTTTAAAATTGTGCGCATTGTGTATAGTTTACAACCCTGCTTTGGGGGATTTCATTACTCTTTGTAATGCACTATATATATACATATAAAAAAGAAATGGATACAATTTATTTTTCTAAAAAAAATCATTTAAAAAACAACAATGAGCAACAAAAATTTAGCCAAATTCCCCATATATATATATATATATATATATTTTTTTTTTTTTGCATGATAGTTTTTCTTCATTTAATTGAGTGTGTCAGAATTATTATTCTAATTTTGTTGTATTTTAATTATTAGATACAGTTTTTAATAACACTGCGGTGGGTCAGGCCAAAGTCACCATTAAAGGGTATTCGTACAGAGTTTGATTAAACCTAGCTGCTTCATGCTAGGATATAATAATTTATCTATAAGATTTAATCATTATTACTCTTGGGATTACTCTATTTGAAACTATATTGTTTTCAAAAAAGTAAAGGGACACAATCTGTCATCTTTCAGTGGCTCATGCTGACTCTCACACACGATTTGTATTTTCCAGTCTTATGGAAGTCCAAGGAAATACACTTTCCGTCTGTTTGTCCTTTTAAAAGTAATTGAATGCCCTGCTACATATATTAGATTAACCCTTTGACGCGTACGATCTCATCGGTGTGATTTGAACGTGCTTTCATACTTTAAAGCTTAAAGTTAAAAGTTAGAAACTATTCGGTGTTTTCAACCACATCATTTTTATTTTAGGTTTCAGACATTTAAATACATACAAGTACAAGCAAAACAATACATTTGTAGTTTGCAAAATACACTGATGTCTATGGAAGCAGCAATAACAACCCTTTCAATTATTAATTGACAACGTGTTTTATTCATATCAGATACACATTGTGTAATTAAACAGTTTGCTTTTTTAATTGTAAAAAAAAAAATACTTTTTTTCTCTTCCAACTTCACCGGCCACTTACTATTTCTGGAGAAGTGGATGAATTGATGTGTTGTAAATCCGATAGATGCGATTATCTGAATGTGGTGCCCATCTCGCATTAAAAATCAGCTAACATGATGATCTTTATAAAGGTTTTAAATGACAAATCACATTCACACCTCGAGAAAGATGCAAAATAGCGGGAACACCCCCCACCAAACCCCCCACCAAACCAAACCTAAAGGATTATTAGGAACACCATACTAATACTGTGTTTGACCCCCTTTTGCTGTCAGAACTGCCTTAAAGGAGCAAAACGCAAGTATCTGAATTTTTGCAGAACTACGCCCCCTCTGGCGACAAGCGAAACTGTGTGTGTGCTCACACACACACACACACATACACGCACGTGCGACTTACTTTCACTTTGATTTGCGATAGATTGCGGCACGCTGGCTTGATGAATAGGCGCTCATCTGCTCATCTGAGGTGATGCGCGTTGTCATATATGACTAAAATAACATGACATAACCTTTAGCCTGCTTTCAACAACCAGATGCATTTACACTTATCCAGTTTTGTCTGGAATACGGCCCAGACCACGTCCTCAAGTGATTTGAGCGATCGGATTCAAATCCGTCTCGAATGCGTTTCGGAGGTCAACCTGGTCTTTTCACGATCGAAATAGCTATCCGATCACAGAAAACGCATAAAGTCACCAGGTGTAGGCTAAACAGCTCCTTTGAATCCATCTTCTACTTTTGTGGAAAGTTGACTAAAGTTGTGTCGCTCGAGTTGTCTTCTCTGATACGGAGATTGGCGGCGAATACACCTGCAAGACATAGTCACATAGCCAGGCGAGCGTGAACGCGCATGACGTCACGGCCAGTCTCAGATTTGAGCCCGAATCCCTCTTATTTATTTTACTGTACAGGATTATAGAGGCGATCTCAGTGATCAGAGAAGGGCTCATTCAGCCCATCAGGCGATTGTTTAAGCATGTATGGGTTAGAAAACGGCTATTTTTAACATGAAATGTTGCGCAATGCACCTTTAAATCTACGTGGCATTGATTCAACAAGGTGCTGAAAGCGTTCTTTAGAAATGTTGGCCCATATTGATTGGATAGCATCTTGCACTTGATGGAGATTTGTGGGATGCACATCCAGGACACGAAGCTCTATTGGGTTGAGATCTGGTGACTGTTGGGGGCCATTTTAGTACAGTGAACTCATTGTCATGTTCAAAAAATCAATTTGAAATGATTTGAGCTTTGTGACATGGTGCATTATCCTGCTGGAAGTAGCCATCAGAGGATACATGGTGGCCATAAAGGGATTGACATGATCAGAAACAATGCTCAGGTAGGCCGTGGCATTTAAACGATGCCCAATTGGCACTAAGGGGCCTAAAGTGTGCCAAGATAACATCCCCTACACCATTACACCACCACCACCAGCCTGCACAGTGGTAACAAGGCATGATGGATCCATGTTCTCATTCTGTTTACGCCAAATTCTGACTCTACCATCTGAATGTCTCAACAGAAATCGAGACTTATCAGACCAGGCAACATTTTTCCAGTCTTCAACTGTCCAATTTTGGTGAGCTCTTGCAAATTGTAGCCTCTTTTTCCTATTTGTAGTGGAGATGAGTTGTACCCGGTGGGGTCTTCTGCTGTTGTAGCCCATCCGCCTCAAGGTTGTACGTGTTGTGGCTTCACAAATGCTTTGCTGCATACCTCGGTTGTAACGAGTGGTTATTTCAGTCAAAGTTGCTCTTCTATCAGCTTGAATCAGTCGGCCCATTCTCCTCTGACCTTTAGCATCAACAAGCCATTTTCACCCACAGGACTGCCGCATACTGGATGTTTTTCCCTTTTCACACATTCTTTGTAAACCCTAGAAATGGTTGTGCGTGAAAATGCCAGTAACTGAGCAGATTGTGAAATACTCAGACCGGCCCATCTGGCACCAACAACCATGCCTCGCTTAAAATTGCTTAAATCACCTTTCTTTCCCATTCTGACATTCAGTTTGGAGTTCAGAAGATTGTCTTGACCAGGACCACAACCCTTAATGCATTGAAGCAACTGCTTTGTCATTGGTTGATTAGATAATTGCATTAATGAGAAATTGAACTGGTCTTCCTAATAATCCTTTAGGTGAGTATATATAGACGAATCCGGCGAAACTACCGGAAGTAAGCGGGCGCCATTACTGAGCTGTTGCTGGGTAGCGTTGCGCAATTGCCTCCTATTGTTTTAGTTGCAACTTGCGTCCACTGGAATAAACAGCCCGCGATTTACGACTGTCACTAACGTTACAACGTTACCCCTTGTATAATGTCGAGTGGGTAAACAGTTTCCGTTATAAATTGTTTCAATGGTGGCAGTAAAATTTCAATTTTGAAGAGAAAACACTGTGAATACCCCGGGTCGACTGCCCCTGTCTGGTGCCGTACGGTTTACACAGATTTCCTGGGCGAGTACAAGATGCGGACATTAGCGTATAATAACAATTACTTAATGACATAAGTAAAAAAATATAATAAATATGTGATATAGTGATCAGCAAAATCTCCTCTCTTGCTATTTTTTCTATTCAATTAACATGCTATGGTCATTAAATGGCTTTCCTGAGTTAAATGTAACGTTATGTGACATAATTGTTCTCCTGCTGTTATATTGACCTCTTTCCATGGTTTAAAAACACTAATTGGTCGATATTGTATACTTTCTAGCTGTAACGTTACCTTACCCTTGCCTGTTGCAATGTGAAAATGAGATAAATAATGGACACAAATGAAAAACATGAATTTGTTTATTTGATTTTATTTATTTATTTATTGTTGCCAAATGGACAGATCTTTTTATAGTTTCCTCGTTAGCAAACGTTAGCCTAGCTAGCTTGCCAATCTATTTTCATAAATAATCTGTAAGATCGTTTGTACCTTCATCTGTGACTGGAGGCCACTGTCTAACATCATCAACCCAACAAGTCATTCTGCCTGGCTGTAGCTGTCATCGAGGGTGCGTTATCACCGAGGTTTGTTTACATACCGGTGCATATGTCTATGCCGGTGTAACAGCTCAGTAATAGCGTCGCCACAAGATGGCAGCCTACACAGAACGCTCGTCGGATTCGTCTATATAGTCGGGGAGCCAAAGTCTCAAAAGCTCTATAAAATGGGTTGAACCTGACATGGTCTGCCATACTTTTTATTTGTGTTTTTTCTGTTAACTTTGACCCTAAGAACAAATAATTAGAGGGTCTGCTCTGCCGGAAATATCGCGAAAAAAAATTGTGGCCATTTTAGTGTACGCACCCTTTATTTTTTATCAGAAAAATGTGAAAAATTATTTTTTTCATCAAATTCTCAGTGGGTTGGGTAGGTTCTCAATAAATGCATTCCAGATACACAGAACACATGTGCAGACAACATCCACTGAAAAAATAATTCTTAAAACACATTTCTACATGATTTCGCATCAATTTAATGCAAAAAAACAGGCGTTTTTTCACTTATTTTCCACTATTTTCATCTTTACTTCATTGGCAATCAACTATTCCCTTAAGTTATGACATCAGGCAATATGCCATTCTTTTCACCAAACACCATACTCATTACACAGAAAAAATTATAAAAATCCAAACAAAATCAATGGATCTGTGATGATTTCACTACTAGTTGGCGATCAACAGGCTCAGAATTTCAATAGAATTTTAGACTACTCTCAAAATTCTTAAAAACAAGCTGGATATTTAGCATCATGGCTCACTTACAAACACACACACACACACACACACACACACACACACACACACACACACACACACACACACACACATGATCTTAGTAATTTTTATGAGTTTGGAACAACCAACCAACGGTTACCAACGGATTTCGAAGCTGCTATACCCACGCTGCGGAGTGGGGCACGTGATGCGATCCCTGAAGTGGTCCCGATTACATTGTCACGTCGATGTTACGCCGCACGTGATCGACTGAAAGGGAACTAAAA